CAAATAACCCCAAAATACAATTTTCTTATATAAATGTGGGCTCCCCGTAGGTAAGACTCACCAAAACATGTGAAAAGATAGTGAGATCCTGAACCAGACAAAGTAATGTATAGCTTCCAATAGGATTGTTTTGAATATAATTTATAAGTTTACTAAAAAAAAGTGTCAAAAAAAATAAAGAAATGACGTGATCTAAATAAATTAATAACTTTTTTTTTTGGTATTCAAAAGAGGCCTAAATAATTTTTTAATTGTATTTGGACAAATTAGGTATGACCATTTTAATTCGATTAGTAGGGGTTGCTTATACCCACCAGAATGGGATGGATGTTACTCATCCCGACAGTTATGTGGGGCGGAGATAGATTATATTTTGGTCCTCTGTAACGGGGTGGAACAGAGGCCGGTATTGCCTCCCTTGATTCAAATTGAACCTGATATAATTGATAATATATAAATAAATAATATATATGTATATATAATATAATTAGACATAAGAAAATAAAATTAAAAGTTTGTGATTATATTTAAATATAAATAAATAATAATTCTAAAAGTCTCACTGTTTATATATATGAAAACAAAGAAAATTATTTAATATATTAAAGATTTAAATAGTTTTTAATTTTTTTGACTTTTAAAATGTAGTCAAAGTTGAAAAATTTTACCCATAAGAGGGGTGGAGTGTGTCCGCAGGAGCGGAGAATGGCAAATTCGTTCCAAACCCCCCGTGGCCATCCTTTAGGACAGGTACCCTAGAGCAATTTCAATACTAATAATTATTTTGTATAACAAAAATACAATGTTCTTGTTTATTTTTTCTAATTTAATATGGTGGTTGTTTATTTTTTTCTTATTGCTTGTTTGGTGGATACTTTAACAATCTCTGCTCCTAAAACTAGTTGCCTAGCCTTTATAGGCGTGTTTTAGAAAGTTGGTAAAAAGTTAGTTTTTTACTTTTTATCAAGTTTTTTGACTTTTTTTGATAGTGATTTGGAAAGTTGATAAAAAGTTGACTTTTTTACTTTTTAATTTAATATTTTTTAAAATTGTCACATCACTACAAAATCACCAAAATACCCTCAGCCAATTGATCAAAAAAACGCAGCGTTTTTTAAGGCTTCCCAAAACGGCACTAAATTGGTTACAAACAAATCAAAAAGTTTAGGACTTAAATTTTGAATTCTAAATTTGTGTCAAAAATGATAATGTGTGGTGGAGTTTGAAAGTATAAATTATAGAGTTATATGTACAATGAATTTAAATCATATATTAATATTTTTTAATAATTTTTGGATAAATGTGAACGAATAGATAATATTTGGTTTTAACATGTTTTACTTTGGACATAATTAAAGATTTTTTTTTATGTAAAATTACAATTGTAGTACATGCATACACAAATATTAAATAAAAAGTTATTCGCACAAGTAATTACAGATATATTATCTAACATCTGTGCATTTTATGTTTATTTTTCTTTGTGCACTTAATTTTATTTTTTATTTTTTTGGGTTAAAATTACTATTATATCTTTTTATCAATGAATTAAAAATCTTAGAAGTTGGATTGGATGTATTGAGAGAGAGAGACAGAGAAATGACCTCCAGTTGTTTGAGGAGTAGACAAAGCCTTCAAAGCAACAGAATCAACAAGAGGACCACAAGCCGAGTCCACCTTATCCAACTCAGGATTATGAATAATAATCTCCAACTCACTCGCCTCAGCCAAGAACCCCCACGAATACGAGTCCCACCCATCGCTACTATACATCGTCTGTATCGGCAACATCCCCCAATCCTTCGCCTCCGTACTTGGCCACACTGACACGTTCAACTTCTCCTCTTGTCCGCACGTTCTTCCCGCACTCAATGTTAGAGAATAGAACATTCCGTTCGCGACTCTCACTTTCTGTTTTATCGATGCGTCGTTGCCGAGTCTCACTGCGAATTTTCCTTCGGGGACGACGAGTAACATATCGCCTTGTTTTGTTCCTGATTTGATGTATTCGACGAATCCTGAGGATTCCCAGTTTGGGATGGCGTTTCGGTCCATCACTTCTGTGCCGTTTAGTTGGGAGGGTTTTGGGCCTTCCTCGAAGTTTCCGTTGGGCAGTAGTCCTGGAATTCAAAAGCGTTATAAAGAATATGTTATTTTAATAATTTTTAAATTTTTTATAAAAAGATTTATAAAAAATTAAAAAAAAATAATGTAATAATTTATAATATTTTTTTAACTTTTTGATTAAAATATATAATTGACAAATTAGACTTTAAAGTTAGAATTAGCTTATTTTGGTCATATTATTTTTGTATTTTTTTTTACACTTTTAAAAAAAAAAAAATTAAAAGTTGATTTTTTTTCTATTTTAAGCTTAAAATGCACTCTCATTTTCATCTGTAAATAGAAAAATAATGTTATCATTTATTTTATACTAACACTAATTAGGGTTATGGTTGCCCTGTCTCAATTGCGAGAATAGATCTAGGAGTTTATTAAGCTTCCGTTTGGGAAGTGGGTTGGCTTTTTGACTTTTTGGCTTTTTGGCTATTTTAGCCTGGGCTATTTTAGCCTGGTTTGGGAAGGGCTTTTTGGCTTTTTGGCTTTTTTGACTTTTTTTGTGAGAGAGGATTGTAATGATTATGGGTTGGATTTGATGTTTTGTTTTTTGTGGCTAAAATAGCCTATTTTGTTTTTTGTGGCTATTTTAGCCAAAAGAGCCTGGGCTTTTTCTTCCCAAACAGAGGCTAAATCCTGAATTTGATAAGTTTTCTATCCTAATTTTTTTTTGGGTACACCGGAATAAAATTTTCTATCCTAATTTGAATGGTTCCAAAGTTTGCCCTGGAAGCACTGAATAATTTCTCTTAAAATAATGTGGTAATAATAAATATTTTTAAAATTAATATTGGTGGATGAATCAGTATGAATGGACTAAAAAAAAATCAAGAACTACACGTCATTCTTCACAAGAATTTTATAAAAAAAAGTAATGATTGTGTAATGTTTACTCTAAAAAAAATGGGAAAGACTATATGTATGCATTTCTCAAATGGTATGTACCATATACATCTTATAATTATAAAAAAAATAATTTAACTTTTTACTTTTTGAGTCATAATTAAAATAAAATAAAATAAATCATAACCAATCCCAAAAAATCATAATCAAATATTTCAAAATAATATTATAAAAGAAAATGACGTAATTAATAATTTATATAATAGATGGTTGTGTATAGTAGAATCCTAAAATATATATAAATATGTTAGAAGTCTTGTGCCACCTTTCATCACATGGTCTGTGCTCTGTGCATTATCAACCTAGATGAGTTATTTTGGCGTTTTAAAATTATGGTAGACTATCTATTTGTTTGAAATGATTTAAATAAGTGTATTTTTTATCTTTTTATGAAAAGATGTACAGAAAAGTAGAGACGTGATGTGATGAAAAAAAGATAAAAAGATAGATTATTTTGTGTATGCCAAACTAATGTATTTTTTTTATGATTTGATTTCTTTTAAATTTAAATTTAATTTTTATATTCGAATTCATGGGCTTATCACAGATTTAGTTTGATAATTCCAATTATTCATTTTGTATAATTCTTTATGTATATCATTTATAAAAAAATAAAAAATAAAAAAATCAGTTGAGAGTATATTGGAGTGACCAACTAAGTTATGATTGATTACCCAAAATGGCAAAAAAGCAAAGCTTTTGCTCAATTGACACTCATTTTGGAGTCCAATTCGCTCCTCTTCTTGCTTTAGTGAGTGACCCAAGTGAATTGGAGTTAGTTATTATTGGAACTTGTGGAAATTTGGGTGCCCTTTGGATTCCCACTTCACTTCTCAATTGCTCCAAAACTTTTCTAGGAATTTGTTAAACAACTAGTTTTACTGATTAAAAATAAATTTGTATAAAAAAGTTATTTATTTGTCATATTTATAATTTTTATTAACTTTTAACGTAAGTAACTTTGGTTGGAAAATAAGTTCAGCACATGATCTAATATTTTTTTAGTAAAATAAATCTTTTATTCAATAAGTAAACTTTTTAGAGTCAAATAAAATATTCATCGGTTTACCGTAGAAAATAATAACCAAATCATGGTCATACTTTGGTTTATTTTGAGAAATAGATTAAAAAATTAATTTTTTAATTTTTTTTAAAATAAAAAAAAATAAATAAATAATGAGATTTTAAAAAATTAAAAAATTAACTTATAATGATCTTGTCTAATGCCCAATATTGCCCTATGCTGATCAACTGGCAACCATGCGCCCACAACTGAGATTCTAATCATAAAATTTTAACAATAATCTTTATACTTGGGACAATTTTAAGAAGTGGATTAAAATCTCTTCCAATAAAAAATAAAAAAAAAAAAGTTAAAAGGTTAATTTTTAACCATCTTCCCAATATACCTTATTATCATATTTTTATATTTTATTACACTAATCAATTTAACTGTTAATGTGGTCTTTTGACAACCTTAGTAAAAAGCTGCGTTTGCAGCTTAGGGAAAAAAAAGTCACATTAGCTTCATTTGGCACGGTAAAAAAAAGCTACATGAAAGATTATAATTATACCCTTTATATTATTTAGTGTTATGCAAATTTTTTAAATTGGATGGGATAGTTTGGTCATTTTATTATAATGTGACATTATAAATAAATATTAACTCAAAAAGTCAAAAACAGCTTTTTATCACATTTCCATATCACTTTCTAAAAAAGTTAAAAAATTTGATAAAAAGTCAAAAGTTAATTTTTTATCATCTTTTCAAAACACCCCAATATAATAGTAGCATAATAAGCCCACCATGAACATGTAGTACTGATAGTTAGATTCACACATCAAATATAAGATAAATAGATAGAAATGGATAGTTATTATCGTATCATATCTTAAAAAATAGAAGTGGATATTATCGTATCATATCTTAAAAAGTCTATGTTCATTTGCCTTAAAAGTTAGGAAAATTTACAGCAGAGAAGGAACACTGAAATTTGTTTATAGATTCATAAATTTTATAATTTTAGTTTTTAACATTTGTAAAGTATACCATTAATTTGAAAATATTTTTTCAAATATCAACTAAATTGAAATTATTCCTAAAAGTTAATCATGCATGTTCATATAATGTGATGATTGTGAGTGAATTAAGACAATAACAAAGGATTTTTAACATAAAAGATCTATAGACCCTATAAGCTAGCAACATAAATAATGTATTTTAAACACCAAGAGTTTTCTTGGTTAGAGATAAATTGCCGAAATTTTGTTTTGTTTAATTAGTTTTCTAGAAACGAAAACAAAAAAATGAAATAATGTATTTTAAACACCAAGAGTTTTCTTGGTTAGAGATAAATTGCCGAAATTTTGTTTTGTTTAATTAGTTTCCTAGAAACGAAAACAAAAAATGAAAACAATAACATATATGGAAATGACACATTTCTATGAATCATTCTGCATATGTAATTTTTTTTTTTTTAATGTGTACTTAACATTATTGATCCTTTGGAAAATGAAATATAGTCAAAGAATATCTAGTTAGCATAATCAAGCTTTAAGATTATCTGTGTCTCATTATTTTGTGTGCATATGTATAGAAAATTTTTCCACTATGCAATGCACGCTAATGTAAATTTATCACAAAAATAAGTAAATTGAATACAAATTCAAATAATTTTTAAATTTTTACGAAGCATTGAGTACCAAAGCATTGCATATGGAAGCATTTCTCATATGTATAGATATAGTTACCAAATCAAGAAAACTTCACTAGCAAAGCAAAGGGCCAAATGCAGGTGAGACATGGCTCATAATTACGGTGTAAAGAAAGCAGAGCATAGAGAGAGCTCAGATAGCTTACCGTCTGTGATGGACAAGGCACCATGGTATGTGGCACAAAGTAACACTAACACCACCTTCATCCTCAACATATTGTATGAGAGAGAGAGAGAGAGAGAGAGAGAGAGAGAGAGGGTGTTGGCAATGAAATCGGAGTGCTGTGCCAGTGCATTATATGTATTTCGGTTTCTGATAAAGCCCCAAGATTTTTC